AGTTATATAAAAATGGTATTTCACGAAAGCGAGATTAATATTCTGTTTATTACTCTCCAAGATAAATTGATAGAAACTGCCTACAGTGTGATGACTCTCAGCTTTCTGCGAGTCCATCAAGGTCTAATACCATTGTGACAGAGGTATTGTACTGTAAACCATTATGACGTCATATGTCCGACATCAGGCGGTGTTATTACACAATGTGTAATAACATTGTAGATTTATTAAAGAGTGATATCTTCAACGGGTGAGAAATAAAGTGTTTTCTCCAGATCGGAGGCAGACGATAGGTTTATTGACAGTTTTGTAGTTGTCGTTTTCTCCGTATCAAGTTCAGATCTGAGATAAAGAGTAGGTAGAGGGGGTTCCGATGTTGAATAAAAAAGGGATGGAGTTTTGATATCAAGTGGTTATGATGTTAAAAATGTGGTCAGTGTGGTTCTTACATTAATAAAAAAGAAGATTGGTCAGGTTATGATTTTGAAAAAAAGAAGCTGTGTGTTATTTTGATAATTAATATAGTAGGGTGGATATTGTTCTGATACCTGTTAAATGAGTGAGTGAGTTAAGTTTTACGCCACACTCGGCATAATAGTCGAGTCTGGACCGGGTTACAGTATTGATCTTCAGTAACCCATGCTTCTTGTAAGAGGCGACTAACGGGATCGGGTGGTCAGGCTCGCTGACTTGGTTGACACATATCTTCGTATCCGAATTGCGTAGATCGATGCTCATGCTGTTGATCACTGGATTGTCTGGTCCAGACTCCATTATTTGCAGACCGCCGCCATATAGCTTGAATATTGCTGAGTGTGGCGTAAAGCTAAGCTCACTCAATCACTCTGGACCAGACAATCCAGAACCAAGTCATCAGAAACCAAGGTGATGATCTGGATCACACTTCACAGTTCACTACACCAAATCAGAATCCGAAGTTTATCAAGCAGTTTCAGAGCAGACTGAACCATCTTGCAGCTTTGATTGGATGATTTTGCGTAAGATTTTTTGTGTGTGTGTGTGCATGTTTTTGTAATGTAATTCCATCTACTGATTAAAACTGAAAACATTTTCAGATATTTAGAGCTGGTTTTTTTAATATAATGACATGTTGAATGTGAGCACAGATACTTTCAAGCTGGTGACATTTTGTGCAGACCTACGGTTTGTCTGAGTAGCTTAGTTAATTTTGATAAATTATGATATTGCTATAGAAGTCACTGGGAAAACATCTGGTTTTGTGTAACCTAGGCTGTTGGGTGTTCCTTTCGCCAGGTCTGTCACCTGTACTTCAGTTACTCACACCAAAAGTTAGCGAGGCACGTGCACCACAAGACGACACTGCAAGGAGTTTCCTGTTTGCTGCCCTAATAAAACAACATCTCAGTGTTGTACCTTGAAGAACGGCCAGTTCATATTTCATTTATTCTCGTTTGAAACCTACTTTTTCTGTCGCTCGACGTTATATTGCAGGACTGAAACCATACCATTATAAAATAATGTGCATATCTCTTCTTGAGATAACAGATCCACATCGACGAAACATAGTTTTAGGTTTAACTAAAGACAATAGCGTTTATGAAGTACTACTGAAGCAGGCATCAATGATATAAAGTTAGCACAGGGGCAGCCAAAATACAAAGAAAATATTTGTTTGTTTGCTGTTTGCTGTGTAACGGCGGCTGTAAATAATCGAGTCTGTACTAGACAACCCGGTGACTGACATCATGAGCATCGATCTACGCAACTGCTATACGAAGACATACATCAACCAAGTCATTGAACCAGACCGTCGGATCCCGCCAGTCGCCTCTACAAGCATTTCTTTTTGAACAAATCTAACACTGGTCACGAGGACGGCAAGGTGATGGAGATATGTTTAAGAGTCATTTAATAGGGAGCTCAGTGAAGTGAAGCAATATTTTCAGTTGAATTTGTACGATTGGTCTTAGACGATTTGAGAGCATTAATTGGTTTCGCCTTTGAAATCGATATAAATTGTTTTGGTACAGATTCTTTTGCTCGCCAATGTATGATGGAAAATAACACCGAAGTATTAGTTTACACGGGCTGTTTGTTTGATATATATTTCCGATTCAGTCGCCCATGTTGTTTTAATGTATCCTTGGTGCATTTCACGTAATTTGGTCGGTGCTCATAATATCACTCATTGATTTATCTGTTCCAGATAGAACTAGTTATAGTAGTCGCCATGAATCAAACAAACACGCAAACAAACACATCGATGATATCAGAATGATGTATTTGTAGCAGGTAGATGGGTTCAAAATCCTAAAATCAACGGACTACCGCCTACAGGTGATCTTGACTTTGAAGACGAGCCTTTAGGATATCAAATGCTCCTTCGTTTATAAAGGTTCGTACCTGTGGACAATAGGACCTTGTAGGTTTCACCCTTTCTCTCCTGTAAGTGAGTGAGTGAGTGAGTGAGTTTGGTTTTACGCCGCTTTTAGCAATATTCCAGCAATATCACGGCGGGGGACACCAGAAATGAGCTTCACACAATGTACCCATGTGGGGATTCGAACCCGGGTCTTTGGCGTAACGAGCGAACGCTTTAACCACTAGGCTACCCCACCGCCCCTCTCTCCTGTAAGAGTACGTGAGATGAGCTGACATTATCATCGGCATCGTTACGGAAACTGTGATCGTTCGAATTACACACACATGGAAAACAGTTAAGCACCTCTAAATATGTTGATCGCTAACAGAGCTATGTTCAAGTTCAGGTCGTGTATGGCAATACCTACGATAACAGCTTTCATTTAAGATATAATGATTGTTACAAGAGTAGTTTGTAGAAAGTGTCTCCCAAACACACCATATGTAGTTTGTGCACGTGCCACATGTCGGTATTTAATCTGCATGGTTTACAATGCTCAATCATTTAACTATGGTGCAAAGAAGATTATCAGATAGCTGGAGATGGCAAATTATTAGTATGCATAACTACGGTATGTCTTTCAAAAAACTGATCGGGAAATGAATGTCCACTACAAAGCTGTCAGTCGTTTTGTCAGAAAATACTGGGAAACCAATGAGGTGAAGGTCGACCCAGGGTGACCTCAGATTGTGAAGACAGGGGAATATTGAGGCTCACTAGACGACATCCATTTGCCACAAGTAACGTTCTGAAAACACCCCCGTATAATTTCGTCTCAACGCGAAAAGTTCGGAATCGCCCAAGGACAGCCGGGTACAACGCTAGAAGGCCATCAAACAAGAACGTTTGGCTTGGAATCCGAGGACTTGGCAAAGAATACATTGGTCTGACGAAAGGTGATTGTAACTCATGAACGCTTGTGAAAATAGAGGAAGCGAAATACAGCATCTGCAGCAAAAATGTTCAACCAACTGTTGCCTTTGGTGGAGATTCCGTCATGGTGGGAGCTGTGTCTCTCATGACTGTAAACTTAACCAACTTTACTTTAGCTTTACCAACGTACTGTGGATGCACACCACTGATGTTAGCCGAAACATTCAGCTTTGTAAAAAAATACAGGGGGTGTTTAACTTTTGTCCATGTGTCTATATTGAATGTTAGATATTGACTATATTAAAGTAGTTGACATTTAGAGTCTGAGCATGTGTAATAATTAGTGTAGAAGACTTTAGTGCAGGGTGATATGTGACAAGTTGAGGAACAGCACATTTAGTGTTTGGACAAATGTTGTAAGATAAGCCCGAGGTAATAAACATACGGTCGATGCAGTATAATTTTATTTCAACATTCTACATGATGCAGTATTGCATCTCGTCTGGTCTTCAGGGTCTTCTGGTCTACCTCACACAATAGGGCTGCTTGGAAGGTGAAGGACGCCGTTCAGGACGTAGATGACGCCGTTGGTGGCATGAATCGCGTTCATGATGCTGACCCTGTTGAACTGGGGCACGTGGCCTGCAATATATTCCCAACAAAATGGTTTGAGTCCGTTTCAAACAGCACTGGGTGAGGATTAGAAAGCCATGTTGAGAGAGATTATAAGAATGTTTCCTAAATCGCGTAGGCTCAAATGATTTGGTATATATCGACGTCTTTTCAGACGTCAAAGAAAATGAAGCACATTCGAAATACTTAGTCTTAAACAGTCTTGAAACAGTCAGTCCTTTTCGAGGCATATTCTTGAGAGTCATGCGATAATAATATGCAAATAGAATTACTTGAATCATGACTAACTGATACATAGCCTGTAGGAATACACCTGACATGTCTGCATAGGTCCAGGAAACCAAATGTGAAGACCTTTACTAAAGACTTGATAATAAGCGAGCCGTAATATTAGTAAAAATGGTACTAGTAAGCCATTTCTGTGACAGACTTTTGTCATTAGATTTGTTCACAAACAAATGAGTTGCCAATGCAAAACATGTTTTCCCCTCGAATTGGGGTTAACAGTTTGATGAAAAAATATCCATTCAATATCCAATGATCTCGACCTCGATTATCTTATCACAATCCATTGTCCAATGAAATTGTTGACAGGTCAAAAGAATGCTGTGTAAAAGTCCAAGAAAAAGGTACGTAGACATGGGTATGAATTTGTGTTGACTTAATGTTGTCAGAAACGGTTAAACCAGACTATCATGGCCTGTACACAAAGCAGACACAAATATTGTACAGGATTGGGTCTTCAGTGTGTACTGGTTATCATTTTCAATGTGTACTAGCTCTGTCTGACTCATTTAGTCTCTGATGATATGTGACTCACCGTTCTGCATGGAGACGTGGATGCGGTGTCCCTCCAGAGAGGTGAGCATGTCGTTCTGATGCAGAGAATCGGGGCCGTGGATGCCGTCCAAGATGTGGTACATCATTGTGCCTGAAGAAAACACGCCCAAACTTGCAACACTGTGTGTGATATGGTCATTTTATATAGCTGATCTATTTGTGTAGGTAAATACAAATTAAAGAAATACCCAGTTAGTGTCAAGTAACGTGTGAATATTTTGTGGAATATGAAACAAAGAGGTGTACATACTCTTCAGAAAATTGGCCTGCTTGTCAAGGTTGTTTCGGTAGACCGTCGGGAGGCTGCTGAACGCTGCATTGGTCGGCGCAAGAAGGGTCACTTGGGGTCCTACAGGAAGAGATTATAGGCATTGTGTATTCAAGGAAGCGACATGTTCACCAATACGTGTTTGGCCCCAAAGGCAAGGCTATGTTTCAGTTCAAGCATTGACAGAATTGTTGTATTACCGTGGCTTATACTAATGAACACGTTAGAAACAAATCTGAAAAACGAATGAAACAAAGGCAAAGTTAAAGCAAAGAGTGACATTCTGTCTTCAAGAAGTAAATGTGTTACTTACTCTCGATCTCGCTCCAGGTTCCAGTTTTCATCAAGTCCACAATCAAGGTGCTGTACTGACCATAGCTCTGACTTAAAACATGTGCTATACTGCCATGCGTCATTGAGAAATTGGCATGCTGGACTGGGTAATTGGTGATGTTTCCATTGGTACCGTTGCCATGGAGGGTGCAGTTTCTCCCGTAAGTCCCGTTAATGCATCCTGAGAAATTGGCATGCTGGATTGGGTAATTGGTGAAGTTTCCATTGGTACCGTTGCCATGGTTGGTACAGTTTCTCCCGTAAGTCCCGTTAATGCATCCTGAGAAATTGGCATGCTGGATTGGGTAATTGGTGAAGTTTCCATTGGTACCGTTGCCATGGAGGGTACAGTTTCTCCCGTAAGTCCCGTTAATGCATCCTGAGAAATTGGCATGCTGGATTGGGTAATTGGTGAAGTTTCCATTGGTACCGTTGCCATGGAGGGTGCAGTTTCTCCCCATGGAGTAAGTCCCGTTAATGCATCCTGAGAAATTGGCATGCTGGACTGGGTAATTGGTGAAGTTTCCATTGGTACCGTTGCCCTGGTTGGTACAGTTTCTCCCGTAAGTCCCGTTAATGCATCCTGAGAAATTGGCATGCTGGATTGGGTAATTGGTGAAGTTTCCATTGGTACCGTTGCCATGGAGGGTACAGTTTCTCCCGTAAGTCCCGTTAATGCATCCTGAGAAATTGGCATGCTGGATTGGGTAATTGGTGAAGTTTCCATTGGTACCGTTGCCATGGAGGGTGCAGTTTCTCCCGTAAGTCCCGTTAATGCATCCTGAGAAATTGGCATGCTGGATTGCTGGTGAAGTTTCCATGGGTACCGTTGCCATGTTGGAAGTTTCCATAAGTCCCGTTAATGCATCCTGAGAAATTGGCATGCTGGATTGGGTATGGTGAAGTTGGTACCGCTACCATGGTTGGTACAGTTTCTCCCGTAAGTCCCGTTAATGCATCCTGAGAAATTGGCATGCTGGATTGGGTAATTGGTGAAGTTTCCATTGGTACCGTTGCCATGGAGGGTGCAGTTTCTCCCGTAAGTCCCGTTAATGCATCCTGAGAAATTGGCATGCTGGACTGGGTAATTGGTGAAGTTTCCATTGGTACCGTTGCCATGGAGGGTGCAGTTTCTCCCGTAAGTCCCGTTAATGCATCCTGAGAAATTGGCATGCTGGATTGGGTAATTGGTGAAGTTTCCATTGGTACCGTTGCCATGGAGGGTGCAGTTTCTCCCGTAGGTCCCGTTAATACATCCTGAGAAATTGGCATGCTGGATTGGGTGGTTGGTGAAGTGTCCATTGGTACCGTTGCCATGGAGGGTGCAGTTTCTCCCGTAAGTCCCGTTAATGCATCCTGAGAAATTGGCATGTTGGATTGGGCGATTGACAGTGTTGGCGCTATGGTTGAAGTTTCCATTGGTACCATTGCCAAGGTGAGTGCAGTTTTTACCCAAAGTGCCATTACGACACAGGACATATGCTTGACGGCGGTGTTGTCCAGACCTTTTGTTGTTGGTTTTGTTGAGCAGTCCTGATCCGTTTAGCACGACCTTGCTGACAAGGAAGATGAAGCCGTTGGAGGCTCTCCTGTTGAATCCCGTGATATTGACACCGTTCACGAACACTCCCTGCATTAACGAAAAAAAGGAGAAAATAGAATGCCTAAGCTCTAAATCAGTATGGCCAAGGTCGAAATCTGCAGTGAGTTTTGTGTACCTTGGTCTTATGGAATGCAGTGCAGTGTGGTATTTGTGTCGTTGAAACGGAGAAATCTACTCAAAAGTGCGTTATTCTTGTTTGCCTTGGTTTAAATATCATTAAAGTAAATGAATTCACATATCAGCGTCTGTTGTCCTTTTAACTTGGTCTTAGTTGGATTAAAGAACAGGAATCTCCAATGTACTTTCTGTCGTTCTTGTTTACCTTGGTCTTAGTGTGATTATAATACTGGACTCGCCACTATAGAATTTGTGGTCCTTGTTTACCTTGGTCTTAGTGCGGTTAAAGAACAGGAATCTCCACTATATTTTTCTGTCGTTTTTACCATGGTCTTAGTTTGGTTAAAGAACATGAATCTCCAGTATATTTTTGTCGTTCTTGTTTACCTTGGTTTTAGTGTGGTTAAAGAACAATAATCTCCACTACATTATCTGACGTCCTTATTTACCTTGGTCTTAGCGTGATTATAATACTGGAATCTCCACTTTAGTATTTGTCGTTCTTGCTTACCTTAGTATTGGTGTGGTTAAAGTACAGGAATCTTCCAGACAGCGTCCTCAGTTTCTTGTTTCGGATCAATTCGGATCTGTTGTAAGTACCATTGACGGAGTGGAAGAGGATGAGCTGTCTCAGCAGGGTCTTGTTTCCTGTGATGTTTCTTGGCAGAACATTGAATGCCTTGTTGTCTGGGACGAACAGGGTGAAGTTCCCAGCTGAAACAACAAGTAACGACATAGCCTCATATTCAACAAAAGAAGCAAAGTTTCATACGCATATGCTTTGCATCGATGTTAAATGGCAAATATAACATATGTTCGATAACTACGAGAGCGGCTGCCCTACTGAAGGCATCTGTCACAAAATAACCACTTGTTCCTGAAAATGTGTACTGCGTCAGTAAAATCTTTCGTTTTTAGTCTATAAATGTTTGATAAACCAATTCCATCAGCATTTATTTCCGTATTTTGATAAAAGAAGCTAGCCTTTACAGTAAACCATTGCATAATTCCAGCGTAGAAAACAATGGCAAACGTTTCCCTTTACAAATAATGTTTGATCTCTTATTAAAACTAGGGCTATGCAATACTACCGGTAAACCGGTAGATATCGGTACAGTATCTCGCCATGTAACATTTTACAAGTGGAAGTGACATTATAAGTGGCTCCAAAAGTGCCATATATTCTACCAAATGCTTTACGTTTTGTGAGTTTGAATGGTTTCATTTTGAGGAATTAAGTGACCTCAAATGGACCATTTGTTTATTTGGACTTATTAGTAGAGGCTCTGGGTCTGAGTGACCATTTTACAATTCACAATTGTTATTTTTGTTTATTTCATAATGGGACATATGATATCAATTTATCATAAATGTCTAAGTCTCAATTTTGTAGGACTGTATAATGACATTCTAGTCAAGGTTCTTAGTTATTGGATTTTAAGCTCAACTAGTTAAACTAAATCATGTGTTTGTTTCATAGTTCATAATAACACATGTTTATATTGGATTGAATCTGAATGAATCACTGACATACAGTAACAATAATTACACACTACATTGAAGTGCATTCTGTTGAAGCAAACAACACTGACGCTGAAAATCGTGTTATACTATGATCTTTATCATTATGTTGCAATACTTCAATCAAACATTCCATGTTAAGGCTCTATATCATTTTATCTATCTGCAAACGATTGGCATACAACCATACACAAAGGGGACGGGGAGCCTGAAAGTATGCTGAAACAGCAACTAAGAACAGCAACTAAGAAGATGATGTCGCACACAAAGAGCTACTATGAATTTATGATGTATGCACTTGGGCAGAACCTTCCAGTCAATATATCACATATGTGATGGATATTAAATTAAAATAAGTTTGTAAATTTGTTATCCACATGCCCAGTTATTTTCGTGCATTCCCATTGGTTTGTCGTATTTTCGCGCATAAGAATCATGGGCAAATCTTCTTCGAGGTTACAGAAAGGAGCGAGTGTTGACAAGTGGCAGATCCCTAATCCCCTTGCCTAATTGTGCTTTTCCCCAACACTATTTCAGACTGTATTAGTATTGTATAATCTTCACAGGCAAAAGTAAATCTACGACACTGACATGGATATGCCATCGACATTGAACCACTCTGAACGAAGCCTGTCATATAGCTGCATTGAATTACCTTTCCTTGTGAAGTTAGCTGTCAGGTTGGCTTCGTGAACAAGGTGGGCGAACTTCGTCGCCCCCAGGCTCTTGGCAAGAGGTATTAGCTGTTTAAGTGTGTCCCGCTGGAAGGGAAGAGACATCACCACCCCGAGCACCGTGGCCGCCACTAAGCTGATGAGAAGGGTCTTCATTCTGCAGGAACAACTGCTGAAACTGAGTCAAAACAGTCTTTATATTGGCTGGCGGAAAGTTTATCTTGCGTTGGTCTTTTATCTGGAGATTTGATTGGTCAAGAGAATCACATGGTTGATAAGAATCGGTATATAAAGGCACGACATATATTTAGAATTATCTTTCTGTAACGAACGCATGTTAGATGCATGTATTTCGCAATTCCGAATACTGGAACAAGTTGTACCAATCCTTTTATGCGAGAGCCGAGAGTTCTGGTATCAAATAAAACCTGGGATGATGTGCAGTGAATTGAGATGATTGTGATAGCATGTAAAGATGGAGTAGAGTGTTTCGCATGTGAAATAAAGAGGCGTGGGAAACAGATTTTATTTCAAACTTGGAAAGGGTGGTGGTTCTGACATTAGGTAAAGAGAGGGAGGAGACATGTCAGATATATATAGATTAGGTGGAGTTGGTATGAGATAAAGAATGGGTGGACACAATTCCAATGATAAGTAAACGGAAGGTGAAGGTAGTTTTGATATTATAAAAACAGAAGGTGCAAGTTGCTCTGATATTAGATACAGTGTTTGGTTTGGGCTGATGCTGGGTTTTTAAATTTTGGACGGTGATGGTTTTCTCTGTATACCTTTCAGACATTAGAGTAAAAATGAAAGAAAGCGGTCCTAATATTAGATGAAGAGTGGATGGAGTTTGTTCTCATATAAGTTATAGAGATGGTGGATGTTGCTCTGATATCAAATAAAGAGACGGCGGGTGTGGTTCTCAGATTAAGTTAAAAGTGTGGTTCTGATCTTAACTATAGAGAAGTTGGGTGGGATTTTAAAATTAAAATTAGAGACGTTGGGTACGGTTCTTTTATTACATGGAGTGACGGTGGGTGTGGTTTTCATTTCACACACACACACACACACACACACACGCACACGCACACACACACACACACACACACACGCACACGCACACGCACACGCACACGCACACCCCCTCATGTACACGCAC